TGTACTGTATATCATATTATTTTCGATGGCTTTACTGTAATCAGTATAACAGATGGACAGATCGCCACTGGGCTTTCATCTAAACACACAGCCACGTAATGATAACAAAACAAAAGTCGGGGTCATTGGTCAAGCAACACACCAATCAGAGAGCAGCAGTGAGCACACCTCAGGCTGTGTTTCATATAAAGAATAAATAAAGAATACAAATGTGTATTCTTTATTTCTGATGTATTTCACACAAAAAACTTTTGGTGGAAACGTTTTAACTTTTATGATTTTTTTTTTTAAACGGCAAATTGGCAATAAGGCTCGTTGGGGGGGCACAGTGACTCATTTGGGGGGGCATGGCCCGCGAATGACCCCCCATGACGCCGACCCTGGTTACATGCCACTTTACAGAAGCAGGTTGCCCATAAACGACATGTCCCACAATGAATCTCGTTTTGTGACATGCACACTGAAGAGACTTGCAATTATTTGCCCTGGACTTCTGCTTTCAGACGTAGTTAATGACTAAGTTATTATCCTATCCGATACTAATCCAATTCAGAGGCAATAATGTAATATAATACATTATTTTATATATATATTATATAGTTACAACCGGCCCTTTGAGTGCAACCTTTATGAAAATGTGCCCGCGATGAAATTGAGTTTGACGCCCCTGGCCTAAAGGGTCAGTTCCCTTTATGGTTCCCATTTGAAGAAGTGACCCTGACAAGAGACTAATGATGACTGATGTCAAGTCAGCTCTTTATTGTGAGCCATCAGGCATTGGCAGCATAAGTCAGTGATATCTGAGGGCCATGCCAAAAATGGTGGCATCAATGCTGAATTTAAACAAATACAAGAGAAACAGCTCAGTCTGGTTTTAGTGGGCATTTGAGAGTATGCCACATTTAATAATGCTTTTAGTGGGCCAGGAGGATTTTTTACCGTGGCTGAAAACGTTGTATAAAAGTGGACATAAGGCCAAGAAACCACACAATGTTTCAAATACATCTAACTTGTTGACATACATTAGGTTCAGACAGACCAGATCACAATGAAGTGCTGTGTATATGTGTCTGCATGCGTGGGCAGAACACCATACTGTTCAGATAGCAAACTGTCGAAGAGAACTGAGCTGTGGCGAGACAACCTTGAGCTTTATCACACGACGAGACATCCTGCAACCAAAAATAATCAGCAACTGCTTTTACAGTTTGACTGAAAGACAATACAAGGTAAAGACATTTGGTACCAATTCAGGGGCAAAAAAGGTAGTTAAAACCCCCCAAAAAACCTGAACTAAAATAATTAAAAGTGCTTTTCAGCTTCAGATATTGGGTTGTGATTATTCTCGAGTGAACCTGTGTGCGCCATCTGCTTTTTCCACGGTTACTGATTTCTTAGAATGTCTTTTGATGACTCACGGAGACAGAGCACAGTTTTTACATTTGCTTCGCTCGGCTGTGAGTTTAAAGTGTGGGTGGTCGGATATTGATAGTGATTGTGGTAGTGTGAACAAGGAAGTCAGATTTTCCATTTGAGAAAAAGTAAAAGCATGTCCCTTGTCAGTGTTGCGAAATACTGCAGCAACAAAACACAAGATTAGCACAAGCTGCTTTTGGACTTTTTTGATACCTCAGATCCTACCTCAGATCCTACCTCAGATCCTACCTCAGATCCAGGTGGGAATGTTTTTCCCCAACTGGATCTATATGACAGCATTGTGGTAGAGCCTAGCTAAGCTAAATGGATCCCTCATCTCTCTTTATAAACGTCTATGTTCACTTTGCTCCACTTTCCATAAATAAGCTACTAAATAACCCATTGGGACAGTTCCTCTGGCACAGTCTGAAGCTATTCCCCAACCACATATTCTTTCATAACCACCTTTCAGAAAGTTTTCTGGTAACTAACTGCTTAAACATATTATCCCTCTAGTCGGTCCGCGGCGATACATCTTTCTGTGAATCATTTGAAGTCGTAATCACTCTGAGGTTTAGTCCTTGTTATTTAAAAACCTGTGTGTGCGTTCTTCATTGTTGGATATTTTATAGATAAATTCAAGTATATTCTTGTACACTATATGTATTCCAAGAAATAGAAAATACCCAAGTTAAATGAAGACAGACTTAGCTGAATGTGTTGTGTTCATTAACCCTTGAAGAGCTTTCTGATAGTTCAAAGGAGCAACTTAAAAATAGCAAGGTCACCATGGGTGAATGTTTTTGACAAATAATCTTGAATAATATAATTATTTATCACGACGATGATCCTTAAATATCACCAATCCTAACATCGGTGCACCTTCAACACCATGAAATACTTCCACAAGGACTACTAAGGTGATTTAAGGATGCATTAATGTCTCTGAAAATGAATAACGGCGTCCTCCTTGACTTTAAAGTGACAATAAAACCGATTTACGACAACCAAATTATTTCGGAAATTGAATGATTACTCGGATAGTGCAGACTTAATGCAAGGCCATTTTCTTAAGGGCGAAATAATGCGTGTATCCGCCCCGTGATTCACACCAACAGTTAATGGTTCTTCCTTTGTAGTATTATACAAATTCGGCACGTAGTTTTTCTGTATTCCTTGGGACAGAAAAGACAAACCAACAAACTAACCAAAAACATAACCTCCTCAGCCTGATTTCTAACTTCACCAGCACTCTTGGCTCCATTCATGGCTTTGGAAGTGGATTTTCAAGGACTGACGTCAAAGCCTTGCCAAGCTGAGTCGGGCTGAAGTTTTCGCAGTTACTGCTGTCAGGATGTCTCCTCCGACAGGAGAGCTGTCAGCACACAAGGACCACACACACACACTAAACACCTGACCCCATTTTCAAGCTTCTACAACATCCAACAACAACAGCCAGTAAGCATCAACAAACAAGTAGCTTCAAAATCCTCTCTTGGCAAACCTGTTTATGTTTGTCCTTCTCTGTTATTTTCCATTTTGATTCCCTTAATGCTGCAACCTGCTTTCCTTTCCTGCCCTAATGCTTCCAAAGGCCTGTCCTAAATCCAGTTGGAGAGAGATATCATGCCCAAAACAACCCACAAATCCACCTCTCGACCCCTGATTTCAGCCAGTTTGTCTGACAGCCCTGGCAGCACAGAGAAAAGCCAACCCTCTGGTTCCCAAACACCCAGACTCTCCACTTCCATTATCCTCATATCCCCCAGGAGCACAACACCAAACCTCAGCTGCACCCCTGTCTGCTATCACCCGGATAAGACAGCCGATCGGCCCCATCAGCAGCTCCAGATGCCGCGGCGTGCCAGACAGGATTAGCACACATCAGGCCAGAGGGGTTGTTGCAGATCCTCCTCCTCCCCACATCTTATCCTCCTCTGCCCGTTCCTCTGATCCCCTGGCACCAACACAAGTCTATGCACACTCGCAAACTTTAATATTGATCAAACAAGCGACAGCAATGATACATGAGCAGACACATTATGTCAAATGGTAAATGTACTAAATTTGTATTGTGCTTTTCTCAGCTTTTCATCCCCTCAAAGCCTTTTTACATTCAAATCAACCATTCACACCAGTCACACAGAGACATAAGGCGCGTTCACACCGCAGTACTTTTCCCACTTTAGTTCCGATATAGTTCTGAAATGTTACGTTCACACCAAAAAGAGCCGGAACTCAAATTAGTTAATGAGAACCTTTTCACCCCCTTTTCCGTCCCTGCTATCAAACTGGATAAAACGCGGGCTTCTTGTTGTTGTTCAGGAGTTGATCCCGCCCCTTCCCCCGCCTCGACGTAAGCGTGACGTATGTGGTGCTTTTGCTCTGGCCGGACAATTTTTTGGTGCTTGAAACGAACCGGATTCCAGAGCTAAGAGTCTGCTCCGCTGCGGTGTGAAGAGGAAAACCCGGTGCTTTTCAAGCTCCAGCTCCGAACCGGCCCTGAAACACTGTTGGTGTGAATGAGGTACTAGAGAGCAGGGACTTTCGTGGGAGAAAAAGGTTCCTGTGTCTGATTGGCTGGGCGGATTGCAAACCACGCCCCGTAAAACTCCCAAAAAGTTTTGTGAAGCCGCCATTTTATTATCCTCGCATTAGCATTATTAGCATTAGCATTAGCGCAGCGCAGAAACGCAGAGAGACTAACTTATGGCAACACAAAATAAAACATGGGAGCGGTGGAGATGAGGAGGTGTCGGCGTTCTGGCGATTTACTCGGAAGGCTTCAGTAGAAGCTGCTGGGAGTCCCAGCAGCTTCTACTGAAGCCTTCCGAATAAATCGTCTCCAACTCCGGGGACTTCCGGCCGGGGACTTCGGGTGGCAGTATACGCCGTGAAGTGGTTTGCGGCCTGCCAGTAAACCCAAAGCAGAAGAAGTGACGTCAGCGGCTTCATTTGCCTAATCCTCCCCCAGGGACTTATTCCGGTGTGAACGCGATCTGTACTTAGTTCATGAGAACTAAAGAGTCCTCATGAACTAAGTTCTCATGAACCTTTGTGGGAAAAGTACTGCGGTGTGAATGCGCCTATAGGCTGCCATACAAGGTTTGAATGTGTGTGACTGTTTGTCTTCTCAGGGAGAATAACATACACACAAGATTGAAGGCTTTATTGTCATGTGGACATTAGCTTCAGTGTGGATATGGCAATGAAAAACATAGATCACAGGCTCCTCCAACAGTGCAACATGAATATATATATATATAGGACATAGAACAAAAACAGATACAATCTTGCATGTTGCGGACAAAGTTAAAAGCACACAACGAAATGTAAACAAACACTGAAATAAAACGAGAAAAAGGCAGAGTTGGAGAGGAGCCAAATACACGGCAGCCATGCTATTGGACATGCCATTGGGAGCAATTTGGGAGTCTTTCCCGGAGACACATCTTCATGTTGACAGCTTTTTCTCATGGATGAAAGGGATGCATGGAGAGAACACACAGGCCAACGTGGTGAATAGAGGGCCATCTATGATCAGCTCTCAAAATGTTAAAATGTCCAAATCCTTTATTTCCTACCTGACGGACATGGAGAACTCTCCAGGGGCGCTCTCACTCTCTCGGACCAGAAAAGCCCCGCACTCCCTGTGTTTCAGTCGACTTTCTGCCACACCGCGAGATATACGACCGGCAAACCAGCTGGAAGCGAGAAAGAAAACAGGAAGCAGAGATGGAAAGGAAGAAAGAAGTCATTGATGTTTCTGTTTAATGCATGTGAACTGCGTTGTTCTGGGGTCAGTGCAGCTACAATACAATGTTTTCTCACATTAATAAACGATTTGATTTGGTATCTAAACTTTTGATGTTTGTATTTTCAATGGAAATGCTGAGACTTAAAAATAGCTCACAGCAATAGAGATGAATGCTGACAAAGGCAAAAAGACAGCTTTAGAGGGAAAAAGGTAAAATTAGCACATTTGTGAAGTTATTTTTAAACACACTGCCACACAGGAAGAAAATCCTAAAATGCTGGATTTCAGTTGTCAGCCGTGTAGCGGAAGTGATGGTGCCATTTTTCATTTTTCTTCTCGCTCATTAGTCCTGCTTAGTAGAGCAGTTTGTTTGGATGCACTGTAAATGACGTTCTGCTTTCACGGGCCTGTGCTCTGCAGGCAGATTGATGGCTTAAATGAGGGGAAAGCACATTGAATATGGACGATGCACTACGGTGCTCTCTTGGTGGAGGTCATGGGGTCAGAATTCTGGCTCAGTGAGGAAATGCGGAGGAGGACAAGCACTCTTAGACGGCACATCTCCTCACGCTATGCACAAAGTTAACTAAGCAGCTCCAACTGGAATGTGTTCATTAACAAGCCGCTGCAATGGCTGCGTTGCCAGTTTAGTGTTTGTCCCAGCACAAAGTTGAACCCAGCTGGTGTATGACCATCTGATGGAGATACAGTGTGTACCAGCAGCCTTACTGAAAACACACACGGCTGTATCATGTGTGATTACGTAAGGCACCGAGGTAGGCTGCCTTATGCCGGAGTGCAGATGTCCAAAGCAGAGCAGAAAAACGCTCAGAGCGGCAAACACTCACTGATGAGTTGTTTAGATAGACCAGTGTTAGACGTTCAAAATATAGTCATCTGCTTGAAGACGTGAGTGCAGGCATGTGTGTACTTACGCGTGTGGCCGCAGGTTGATGTAGTTTTTTGGCACAAAGCCTTTCCTATTATGGAGCTCAGCTGTGTACCAGTTAGGATCATCCTCCATGTTGGTGATCTAGAAGCAAACACACACATATGAAATATTGCCCATAACGATGTTGATCCATTCTATTACTGTCGGGTGAAGGGTCGCTAACATTGCTTCCCCCCTCTGTGTACAGACAGTATATCAATCTCTTCGCCAGGCCTCTCCTTTTATTTCCGGTACAGCTGCTTCCATCCTTTTCGCTGTCTGTCAACTCACACCGATTCCGAAGAGCACAAGATTATTGGCAAGTTCAAAATGTCACATAAAGCTCTTCATGACTGCACGGGAGAAACAGCACACATGTCTGCAGCAACCTACGTAGAAGTGTCTACAGTTTTACCTTCTTATTTTCACTCCCAACTTGTCACTACGGCCCGTCCACACTACAGCTTCGACAGCTTCAAAAACGGTTTCCAACGCGTCTGCCCATTCACTTTGAATGGGGTGACGTCACTTTTCGCCGAACTGCATTGTGGGAAGCAGAGCGGAGCTTTCCTGGCGTTTCAGGCTGCAAAAGTTGAGCAATGTTCAACTTTTGAAGCTTCTGAAGCTTTCGGTGGAAGCGTCAGCCAATCAAATCATATGCCAGTACAAGCTCTAGCCCATCAAACCGCTGCTTGTGTGTCAGGGGCGGGAGATTCATGTGATTGGTTGTTGGTCGAGCTTCAGACACGCCCAGCTCCAAGCTTTTTTTGAAGCTGTAGTGTGTTATGGCCCGTCCACACAGGGGCGTTTGATCAGATCACTTTTAAACGCATGAGGTACCGAATAGAGTAATAGCATATATATTTTGTTCAACGCGTAGAGTAGTCCGATAGACCTCAACACATGGTTAACATAATGCTACGTACGTGACGTAAGATAAGTACTGAATGTCACGTAAATGCTTGTTTTCGAAAAAGGTCATGGTTTATCAGTTAAATTTCACACACAAATGAAGTATGTTGTGTTAGTTAAGTATGTGACGAACATGGTAAAAGTTAAGCAATCAGTTAGATAACTTTTATGAATGACACACGCAGAACATGAACAGAGGTCTCTTTCTGTGTTTCCAACCCAACCTTTTCCCTAAGCGAACTTTACCCATCTTTATCCTACGTCACTTAATGATCTTTCATAGTAAGTAAGGAAGCCCACAAGAGGCAGCCAAGCACGTGCAAAGGAGACGCTTCAGGGGTAAATGGAGTAGGAAACACTGGGATGGCCTTCAATTATAATACACTGTAATCTGAAACGCTCTGGTTTACCTGCTTTAGTGTTTACCTGTTTTTACCGATACAGAGATAAGGTTTTTTATACCACAGTTCTGCTATGTTTTATCAGTCAAACTCAAATAACCAAATCTATCAGCATTTAAACTGATAGTGCGCACAGCGTGGCATACTGTTAACAGCTGACATGTATCCTGCCTTTAATGGCACTGAGAAGATACAAAAACTCCTTTGGCAATGTTGCCTTCCTGCCAAAAAGTTGTCCTGTGCCCTCTCTGCCTTTAGGAACTTCATTTCATGCACCACCTACTTTAATGGTTGCACTGTGCGCGAGCATTTCAAATGTGATGCCGGCTTTTGACTGATTTACTGCTCATTGCATCAATCATTGTTCAATCACAGAACTGAAGGATTGCCCTTTTATTCAGCTGCTCATTTCTAGCATATTCACATGGCAAATGTTGGCTTCAGGTAATTCATTACTTTGACTCGTCTCCTTTTCTCGACTCTCGTGACAATTCCTCTTTGTCCTTCTTGCTTTTTCCATTGATGGGAGAAAATTAGAGATACTTCAAGAGCTCTTCAATTTGCAATGAAATCAGCTTATCGTCTTCCTTATTTAAATCCAAAGCTAACCTTGCAGTGATTATTTCCTTCTTGAGAAAGGACCCCGGCCTGAGTTAGTCTAATCCTCAGTTTAATCAATTATTTGTTTCTTTCTTTTCTCTCCATTTGCGTTTATGGGATGGGATTTTTATCATTGACCAACCCCAGTTATTCAGCTGATAGTAATTCAATACAGCCTCTTCATACAGCGTCTAATATTTTGGAGTTCCAGTTAAGCCAGCAGATGTTCGGGGCAACTACAGTCGAGAATGCAGTGAAAGATAAAAAAAGATGTCTACAAACTAATTGTATTTCTGCATTTATACGCAGACATACGTTTAGACCAGTGTTTCTCAAACGTTTTCATACCAAGGACACTTAACCAATAAAAAAACACTCGCGGACCACCTAACTCCACAAATACCCCAAAACACATCGTTTTTCTAGAACAGATGACAAATCGCCTGAAAATTGTACAAACAAGTGGCAACATGTGTGACGGAGGTGTTGCTCTGGGCAATATCATGCAATTGAAAGTGAAACTTAACCTCGCTACATTGCAGAGATATTCCCGCGAGAGTGCGGAAAACTTAAATTAACTTATTTATTTAAAATGTGAAATGTTACCAATATACTCACGGACCACTAGGGGGCGCTCACGGACCACCAGTGGTCCGCGGACCACACTTTGAGAAGCACTGGAAATCAACAAAGAAGCTTAATTGCTGTCAAAAAGATATGTATTTAAGTGTTAAATAATGAACGCTAGACTGTAAATATTTTTAACAGAATTCCAAATGAGGCTATTTATTTTGTTGTTAAATTACAAACTAGCTTTTTGATTTTGCCAGTGAAAGAAGAGTCTGGCAAACAGCCCAATTCAAACCACAAAGTAAAGTATGTAACAGTTTCTCTTTTCACACTCCACTTTTGGCTCGCTTGTGTGGGACTTGGCCACATCTTCTTCCAGCTTTAAAAATGTTCAAAGCTGCAACTTTTTTTATTTGAATATGGAGCTATTTTTATCATTTATTTACAAGTCACTCAAGTCAGCCTTATTAATCCATTTCTAGGTGGCAACTGCAACACATTTTGCACAACACTGTACGAGTCGTTGTAAGTTTGTAAAGCGCAGGCCATCTGGTGATGCAAGAGGGAATGGACAAATGTGAAGAAATTATTTAAAAGTACTGTTTGACCGTAGTCTGAACCACAACTGTTTGGCTGAGAAAAGACAGCAGTTTATCCTAGCAGAAGAAGACAAATTAAGGCGCTTAAGCTGAACAAATGTAGGTCCCCTTTTAGTCAAAGCAAATATGTTACTGTGGCCAGGATGTTGACCTAGCCATTAAGATAAGGATAGTATTGCGTCACAGTTGGCTGACCAAAGCCAAACAATAACACCATCATCCTTTACAGAATGGACAGGACTATCTAATACTGCTGGGAATAAAGAATCACATTTATTTATTTAAAAGCAGTGATAAAGATGCAGAATGCCACCTCGTTATGGCTGCATCCAAAATCAGCTCCAAATCAATGTGTTTTCTATAAAGGGAAGTGTGTCTGGGATGAATAATAAACCACCATACTGCAAACAAAATATGTAAATAGCACCTTTAGGCATTGTTATCCTGACACATTCAAATACATGTCATGGGTTATTTTGTTGTTGAGGTATTTTCTTCCACTTGCCTCATCTGTTTCTTCCTTGAATAATTTCCAATGTTTGCCTTGCCTTTCACAAACTAGTAAAGCATACTTTCCATAACAATATCATAATAAGAGCAAGAACATAATTATGTAAAAGTCAGAGCTGCCACTAAAACTCTTTGCACACAGTTTATGGAGGTTAAATCCTGTGGAGAAATCTCGCTGTCTTCTTCCATTAATGTGTGTGTTTACTGTATGACCGTGGAACAGCTGGTGCCACGCTATAAGTCGAGGAGCTCTTGCTGAGGTTTACTGCTGATGTCTTAGAGGGACAATTTTCTACTACAGTAATTTCCAGCTGTGCAGGAACCATCCAAGCACTGCATTTGGCCTGGTATCCATCACAATAGAACATCAGCTGTAGAAAACGTTTGCTTTGCAACCAATAGCAAAAATAAGACTAGTTATAAATTAATATTTTCAAAATGTAAAATATGTAATCCCTTACTTTTGTTTTTATACACAAAGTTGTATTAAATAGTTGTCACCATTGTCATGTCTGTTGATTAAAGATTAAGTACAGCCAGCAGCGGCTTAGCTTAGCTTTAGCATAGTACTGGAAACACTAGAACCAAAACACAAATACTGACCACACTAAGTCTTTTTCCAATTACATTACTGATAAAACAAATGAGATACAATGTGTTTATATTAGGCTTAAAAACGTTTTGTAAGCTTTTGGTTAGTATTTCCTTATGCTAAACTAAGCCAGCTAGCTACACATTTAGCTACAAACATGACAGTGGTATCAAACTTTAGGCCCTAAAGTGTAGGGCATTCACAACTCTTTAAATACAAAGGCTTGATTGGTGGCCCTTCATAAACGATTGTGACCTAAATACTTTATCATCAGTTGGTGCAGGGCTGAAGTTATGAGTAATGGAGGAAGTCAGGTGACATATGCAAAACGACACAGGAAAACACTTGCTCTTTCATGTGTGAAACCAAAACTCACCATTGACTTATTTTGAAATGATGCATCTTATTTCTGTAAGATAGTTATGTCATGTCTTTTGAGTATTGTTCTTTATTTATCCATGTGATTTTAAGCTTTCTAACAAACATTCTTATTTGACCTAAACCATGATTTAAACCTCACTGCTAGTTTAGTTGCCTAGACCTCACCAAGTATATTGTTTTAGCATTTATGTCACAAGACGTAACGCTCCCAACACCTTGGAAGTGTTAACGCTCAGGTATGAGAACGGGTTAAAATCTTCTAATCAGCAAAATAGAGAAAATGGGGATTTCCCAAAAAACATTGTAACACTTATTTCAAGTCAGACTGTTGGCTGTTTTTTTTTATACTGATACATCTTTAGTCATCAACAGAAGCACCTTGATACAGAGTCATTAGCTATAGACACTAAAGTTATAATAGTTGTAATTATCACAGCAGAAGCAAAGAGAAAAGAGAGAGGGGGGTTTAATCTGTTGGTCCACTACTGTGCTGATTTAATGTGTGCTCTATGTTTATAGATAGATAGATAGATAGATAGATAGATAGATAGATAGATAGATAGATAGATAGATAGATAGATAGATAGATAGATAGATAGATAGATAGATAGATAGATAGATAGATAGATAGATAGATAGATAGATAGATAGATAGATAGATAGATGGATGGAAAAATGGTTAGAATAAAAGTGGAAGAAAGTATTTCTCTTACCTTTAGCAAGTCTCCCTTGTTAAAACTGAGTTCATCACCCTCTGTGGCACGAAACGTGTAAAGTGCCACCGCTTCCATGCCGAAACCTCACACTCACACTCATACACACTCTCACACTCTCTCTGGGACCCCCACTAATGCCCCTGGCACATGGGGGCTTGAAAGAGGAGGAAATGTTAAAACAATAAAACAGATAAAGGGAAAAGATGCAAAGAAATAACAGACAAAGGAATGAAGAAGAGGAGAAAGACAGGAGAGGTCTGGACTGTCCACTTGAGCCAGAGAGCGCGCGGAGAGTCAGAGGATGAGAGAGAGTGAGCTCGGCGAGGGGAAAAACACGACTGGCTGCTGCTCAGCAACACACCACCATGAGTAACGCTCAGAGAGAGAGAGAGAGAGAGAGAGAGAGAGAGAGAGAGAGAGAGAGAGAGAGAGAGAGAGAGAGAGAGAGAGAGAGAGAGAGAGAGAGAGAGAGAGAGAGGCAGGGGCAGAGGAGTGGGAGGCACTTCCTGTGTATATATTTGTCTCACACAGTTGGTGTGGTTTCTGTGGACTCTATGCATGTGTGTTTCTTCAATCAGTTGTCTGTATGCGTGTGTGGGTTGACATCACACTTCTATCGTTGTGCTAACCAGTTTTAATTTTACACTTCTAAAGGTGAAAAGTCAGCTCCTGTTTGCCATTCGCTCACCTAACACCTTCAAAGATCTCCATGAAGGTCAGGACAAGGTTTTGTAGACACCTTGATGGAAACGTGAATTATTTATTCATGGCATAAATAAAACACCAGTGTAGTTCATATAGCACGCAGCTATATCAAAGATTTCCGTTTCAGTGTGTAGTTGTTCTGCCACAAGCCATAGAGCTTAATTTCCTCTTTGTTAAAGTTCCCCTATATAAAGTAATATGCTCATTTTCAGGTATCATAACATTTAGTGCTTCTACTGGGACATGTCTCCATGCTTTAATGTTCAAAAAGCTCTTTATTGTTCTCATACTGCCTGTGCTGCAGCACCTTTTTTCACCCTCTGTCTGAAACCAGAGCCCGGTCTGCTCTGATTGGTTAGCTCTAATGTGATTAATGAACCGCTCAGAGATGTCCCGCCCCTTAGCCTATCACATGTAATGTGTTGGAGCACTAGCCAATAGTAGTTTGAGTATTACGTAGAGATGTCACTATGTTAGGGAAGTAAACAAAGTAGCCTTTGCAGACCATTTACATGCACAAATATACCTATATAACACGCTACAGGAAAGGGCAAACCCAAAGCATAATATCATTAATAACACATGTTTCCATCCTCCTATCCATACCTAAATCATGTTGACAGAAAATATTGCCGGGGACCTATCATGCAAAATGCACTTTGTGATGTCTTTTAATACATGTGTCCGCGGTGCGTCGGGGAACTCACGCAGCGTCAGAAAATAAAACCCTGGTTGCGTTCCGATAATCCAAAAATTAGCTCCTAAATTCTAACCCTATCTCCTATTCCTTGACCTCTGAGTGAAACGTCACGGGGTTAAGGGATAGTGGATAGGAGAATTCAAAAGGACTTAGGAGAAGAGACTGCAGGTACTTTAGAGAATCCGACTGCACTTTCACTATCCGACGTGTTTATGATGCGCCAGCGGACGTCATGAATGTGCGTCTGCTGCTGTGGGGTAAACTATGGAAACTACAGTTTTCTATACAGCGGACTACAACATGGATGTTTGAATAAGAACGAGGGACTACTGTAAACTCATCTAGAGACTCTGTGCTCTGATGCTGTTGCTTTATGCTTTATGAACGTGGACAACAGAGAAACATATTCTTCAGGACCAAAGTTGGAATTGAAATAAAAAAGGAAAGTGAAACTTCTGCTCGTCACCCTCTCCCTCCGGTCCACTTTAATACAAATGATCCCAATACGTATGATTGTAATAACTATTAAAAGATCTTAAAATAAATACAGATGTATTTATTATAAACGTTAGTCCTTAACATCTGTCACTGTGTATATCACCATTCAAACATCTTTTAAAAGTTGAACAAACCCCACAGCTCAGTAAAGACTGTGAGATGTTGACTTTATTTGATCATTTCAGTAAAAACTAACGTTCATATTTCTCTTTTTGATTATAATACTGATGAACGTTCAAAACAAAGCACTTTGGCAACTTAACACATACGTTTTAAAATGCGTAATAAGCACCGTAACTTTCATGATATCATTTCTCCCATAATCGATTGTGTCCGTGAACGGCCGACCGTTGAGTGACGGCAAATGCTGCGGCTGCAATGCATTGTGAGGCAGCATTTTCTCCTCTCCTTTCGGTTAGGGAGGTCCAGTGGTTCCTAAGCTAAAGGAGGTTATAAAGGAAGTTTGAAACCTCCTTTCCTTTCATTTGGAGAATTGGAACGGCACTTATCATGGCTGCCAGTGACGTACTTCCGGGTCATTTCACTTGGTTAGGAAGGTTCCTAAGCTAAATGGACTATTGGAATGGGCCCCCTCTCTCTTTTCCTCCGTACCCAAATCTTTTAAAAACGAGTGTACAACGAGCGGATACAGATTCCATCCGAACTGAAGTCAAATCCGCAGCGGACCAACAGAAAGTTCCTATCAGAAACAATGCCTCAAGTGTTTTGGACGTCTTTGTTTACATTAGCAAGCCTCGCTAACACTCAGCGCTAACCTGTACTGAAGAGCACATGTGTTTAAAAAGCAGGAAATAAAAAAAGAACTCACCTTGTGATAAACTCGCAAGAGAAAAAGCATTTGAGCTCCATATTGTTTCAGAAATAATCCTTGACGTGGTTTAAACAGGATGGCGTTTTATCACAACCGAATGTAACTTCATCTCCGGTAGAATTCTGATCAGGCATTAGCTCCGCCTCCTCTTATTTATTTTTTTCAAGCTAAGGACCCAAAATCTGCGTTTCTCTAACAGGGCTTCAAAAGAGGGGTTTGAGCAGTATGAGGCATGGCTACAATGGGTGAACTGTTCACAGACATGTTTTATATAGGTATGGCCCTACAATATATATTTCAAATATAGCATGATAACTTTAAGTTATTCACTGAGTTGGCCTCACAGTTGGAGTAAAGTTTGAAATAGCGGACAGTTAAAAAAAATAGGCTTTCCATTTTCAAAAGTGGAGCGACACAGATGAACAAAGAAAAATCACACTTACCAAGTGTAAGTGTAAAATAAGCCACTTTTCCTCACTTCACTTACAAGATTCAACAAAAACACTCTTAAAAGTTTGAGGTTTAAGAGACTGCAATGCTCGACTGACTTTGATTGACACATACTGAAAGGAATGTGAAGAAAGCATGTTGACCTATTAAGGAAAATTACACCTCGAATTTACACTAAGAAGTCCTTCATGTATCAGGAATGCGCCTCCCAACAATTATCTCACTTTAGACCCCGTGCTGTGATTGATCAGCAGGGCTCACTTCTATTTTCTGCTTCAAATCTCTCATGCTAGTAGGGATGGTTTAGAGTCGATACAGAATAAAAGAAGTTGAAAAATTGCTGTTATTTTCTTCTTTCAACCAATGCCTATTTAGCCATTTTCAGAATGCTCCCACATCACAGAGCACACTCCAATTCGGTAATGAAAAACAGGGGACTCAGATGTTAGCCTAAAAAGTCCCTGATGCCTGCTCTGGGTGCATCAACTCACATACAAGACAAGAAAAGCGCTATAGAAATAAAATGTATTATTATTATAAAATATGACATCAACATTTCTGCTCTTATTTATGAGATCACAATTGTGCACGCTGAGGCGACCGGCTGTCACAGAATGAGAAAGCTTGCCCTTTTGCCTCGTCAGAATATGTCATGAGAAATGCTGCAGCTCTATAGATGTTCAGAATCCTGGGTTAGGTCTGTTTATGTATTCTGCATGAAATTATCCGGCAGTACATTACTTTTGCAACAAAAAAATATATATAATCATTTCCTGATAACGATGAAGCCATAGCCCCGCCTCGCCCCACCTCTGCTGCTCACTGCTGTAGCATGGTCAGTAGCTACTGCTAGTGCTACTGCTACTGACCATGCTACAGAATGATGTTAGTGCAAAATCTACAGCTCCTCTACCACAACCATCAGCAACAAGTGGACATGGAGAATTACATGAACTACATGTTGCTAAATCCACCGCGGGGCATAAACAGAAGGGCAACCATGGCAACCATGCTCGGGGGTCTTCTTCGCTGCTTTTGGTGTATTTTGTGGGGGAAGTACAGCGCCACTTACAGGCCCGGCATATGTACTACAGCGTCTCTAGCGCTTTCGAGCGGTCTCGTGTGAACGGAATACTTTTTTGATATTGTATCCGGTTCGTTTGCGTTTCGTTTGCGTGTAAATGGGGGTCTTAACTTCATATAAAAAAAGACAACACTGTCTTTCTCCATCGCTTTAGTCTGAAGGCCGCAGTTTCTCTCTGTTACCCCGCTTTTTAAATATATATCTTTGTTTCTCTTCACGTTTCACATTCTCTTTTTCCTACAATGTCTTTATAAAAAAATTCAGATTTTAAATGATCCATTGATTTCCTTTTTCACATTGTTACTTGTCTTTTTGTGAATAAAGTGAAAAGAAACTTTGGATTTCCTTTCAAAACTGAGCAGATGGAGTGAATGCCCACACTTTAAATAACTAGTTTCCTTTTGTTTTATTCTATCTAAAACTATCTAAATTGTTTCATACTGTAGCAGGGTCGGCGTCATGGGGGGTCATTCGCGGGCCATGCCCCCCCAAATGAGTCACTATGCCGTTTTTTCTTTTTTTAATCATATAAGTGAAAACGTTTCCACTAAAGGTTTTTTGTGTGAAATACATCAGAAATAAATAATACAAATATAAAACACAGCCTGAGGTGTGCTCACTGCTGCTCTCTGATTGGTGTGTTGCTTGACCAATGACAACCTTTGTTTTGTTATCATTACGTGGCTGTGTGTTTAGATGAAAGCCCAGTGGCGATCTGTTCATCTGTTACACTGATTATACAGTAAAGCCATCGAAAATAATATGATATACAGTACAGTACAACTTGTACAGTACAACTTGTACTGTACAAGTACATAGGTCTCTGTGTTTCATTCAAGCTCGGCTCTGTGTGTGTGTGGCACGAGCGCATTTTGTGAGTGCGCGAGCGGTAACGTGGAATGTTGTTAGCATCTGGTTAGCTAGCTATGCTAACGGATATAAAGGGCTGTTTCTATACCAAGGTGGAGGAGAGTCCTCTCCTGTCAGACTGAGAGAGTGGGGTCTGCCTGCAGACCTCCACTCTCAGGACAGTTCCGGTGCAGACCTCCACTCTCAGGACACCGCCACTCTCAGGACAGGAAGTGCACGCTAAGA